GCAAGGAAACTGGAACATGGAAATATGGAGACCAGTGATTTAGTATTTAGTGTGCATATATGGCAGCATCTCAATCTTACCTCTGAAAAGACCCCAGAGATAAAACAGTTACATGAAGAGAGAGCAGATTCCACTTCTACCCACCTCCAACCTTTTCCAGACACGGTGCATACGCCACATCAGAAGGTGACTGGATACCAATGTGAAACTAAGTGTGAAAACTAAACCATCCTGAGTGAAAAAGAGTGAGTCCCCAAGCCCCAAAGACCTGAGTTCTGTTTTAATATCGCTTACAAAGTAGATGGAGCCAGCTAAAGGGACCTGAAGTTCTTTAGAAAATAAATCTCTGCTTACCTTCAGCAGCTACCGAAGGAGCTATCCAGGGTGCTGGACTGTCTCACGCCGGCGCTTTCTAAGGCCTGGTGGATGAAGCTCTCAGTTATCCTTGTTGGATCTAAGGCCCCCGCTGCACTGAACTATAATCAGACTCCACCCTGATGCCATGTCCTTCTAGTCTTAGATAACCTGTAAGTCAACACCTGCCTGGGCCATGTTGTCTGATTTGATGTTGAGCTATTTCTGTACACACCTTATAGACAGAATATGAAGTAACAATGTAGCTAGTGGTATGTAGATAGGCTGGGTCCCCTACTGTGACTCATGACCTTCTGAAATAATAAGGTAAGAGGAGCAGTGAGCTCAGCAGAGTCATTTTTCCTTATAATAATACTCCAAGGTAACACCTAGCTGCTAAACCTATAGCCAGATCTGCTTATACAACTCATCCCAGAGTCTATCTAAAACGTATCTTAAGGAACATTACTTCTCTGCCTGAAATGATTAAAAAATTCATAGAATATCCAATTCCACCCCCTCTGACTTAAGTAGCATTCTTCACTTGGCTTTAAAAAAAAAATATGTTACATTGGAAGCCATTACTCAATCTCTTAAGTAATCAAGTTTTTACACTAAGTAGTGGATAAAAATTTGTATGCTTTCAAGTCAAACACTTTGCCTCTTCAACCAAAGCACTTAGAACACTAGAATAATCTGATGTACACTCATTTCTCTCTCTCTCCTTCAGTAACAAGGAAAATAGGGAGAGCTGCAGCATCTTCAGAACTTCCCACCTACATGTCAGACCCTTCACTGTCCTCAAATGTGTTTGAAGGGCAGTATGATTTATAAAGAGCCACAGATGTTCAGCAAAAACTTTTAGTTCCCAGTTTTCAGACAATGACAAGAAAATAGGACTAGAAATCCTTAAACTTGCTCTAATATTTTCCTTTTATATGTACAATCAAATCAAACACATGAAAATGATTTTAAAGTAAAGAGGAAATCAATTGCTTTGTTGTTACACAGTCTAAGATTAAATACGCAGCCCAGAAATATCTTTGTTTAATCTAATAGTAAATTAATTTTGTCAATTTTTATGCACAGAATCCCCCACACTCTGTCTTTCCTCCCCGTTTTCACACGTAGGCTCATTCATATGGCCGAACACTCTTCCCCTCCTTCTTCACCTTGCTCATTTGACTCATCCTCCAGATGAAATCAGGAAACTTCTGAGAGTCTGACTCACCCCCTGCCAGGACTGAGTGAAGTCTGGACTCCTGTAAGACACTGCATTCACCTCCATCCTTGACACTGTAATTTAATTATTGGTTTATTTGTCCATCGCTCCCTCTACCTCACAAGCTCTATGAGGGTAGGGGTCAGATCTTTCCTACAATTGCATCTCCAGGATTTTGCAAGGGGCTTCGCTTAATAGAGGCATTCAATGAATAAATGAACGAATGAATGAATGAACTTAACTTTAAAGCCCCTCTCTATCTCTAAAAGTTAATAACTCTGATTTGTTTCTAGGCTTCTTCCAGAACTTTGGATTCAATATTCATCCCATTTAAGAAATCTTTTATAAGTGACTTCACAATGATACATACGAAGTTTCTGAAACCAGGTAGAAATTACATTCTTATACGGTACAATTTCAATGAAATACTACTATTTGGCCGATGTATACAAGATGTAGATAAGGGATATATTTTTCTAACTATCAAAGAATAACCAGAAATTTTTTAAAATATTTCAACTTGGCCAGGCATGGTGGATCACGCCTGTAATCTTAGTATTCTGGGAGGCCGAGGTGGGTGGATCTCTCAAGGTCAGGAGTTCTAGACCAGCCTGAGCAAGAGCAAGACCCCATCTCTACCAAAAAATAGAAAGAAATGATCTGGACAACTAAAAATATATATATATAGAAAAAATTAGCCAGGCATGGTGGCGCATGCCTGTAGTCCCAGCTACT